TGACAAGAGACTTAAAGGTTTGGTGTACCCAGGGATTTGGCTCTTGATAGGACTTTCTCTCTTCTCTTTTGGGTTCTCATAGGTTTCTGTTCGGTTTGTACACCAAATTTCCAAATTTATCCACAGGGGGGGACGGGGGGACGGGACAACTAAACAACTAGGGTGATCAGAGTGGCTGGAAGATTACTAGGAAGTTTCGCCGAGGAGGAGCTTACCTTTGCACATGTTTCACTCGGAAAGGGGGGGCCGGGTGATGTCCCCGCCTACCCCAACTTGCTTGGGACAAAAGGCTTTGTTGTAGCTATTGTTCTTATAGCTATCTGTTATTTTCTTTGTATAAATTAATTGTTCTTATTCTTTGTCAGGTATAGCTACTGATGCATTTACCTGCCAAATATTGTGTTAACTGTGATGCAGAATTCTAATTTATCTTATGAAACAGGTTCTTAGTCATAAAGGATATGATGGAGCACTTGCTGATACATGGTCATGTGGAGTTATTCTATATGTCCTGTTGGCAGGTTATCTTCCCTTCGATGAAGTAGATTTGACTACCCTTTATGGGAAGGTTTGTTTCTTATAAGCTCATGACCACTTTACTAGAAGTCAACCTCCCTCCTCGCGGTATCTGAATATAGGTCGTTCTGAGATCCGTGTGGTCAACCATTTGAAACTTTGTTGTTATCATATGCAAAGTTACACTAGTATTTGACATATAAGAGTAATGTCATTTGGTTTGTCTTGCAAGTTATGTGATCCAGCCACCACAAAATAACCAAACATACTAGGTGTGTATATATTGATTAGTTGATGTAAGTACTATATGTGTTAGTAGTCAAGCATCATAGAATTTGGTAATATAATGACCTAGCGACCATAGCGATTCTTATACTTTGTTAATTTGTTAGCTGCAAGGGAAATATAACATTTGTAGTCTAGTAGAGATTCTATAAACTTGTATTCAGAGCTTTTTCTATCACCTGTGGGGGCCTGTGGCAGAGTTGTATGTAGATATTTATTACTCCCTCCGTCCCAAAATAAGTGTCGTTGATTTGGTACAACTTTGTATCCAATCAGCGACACTTATTTTGGGACGGAGGGAGTACACGATTTGTGCACTAATTGGTCAATGGCATATGTGTTCTTGGTGGCGAGAACAGTTATTTTCTTAGACACGGCGTTTTTATGGAAAGTGTATTTTCTGTATATTAGTCTGTTTTTCCTAATGCAGATTGAGAGCGCAGAATATTCATTCCCAGCTGTGTTTCCAAGTGGTGCTAAGTCACTGATACGCAGAATTCTGGATCCTAGCCCAGATACAGTAAGTGAAGTTCTACAATTATTTAGTCTAACATTGTATTGATTTCTTAAATGGTTTATATTTTGCTTTAAAGTTTTGTTAGCAATTGACAGCATCTCATATTTTTTAGATAATGGAAGCTTTACCCCCATCCTCTGCATGTTCAGATGCATACAACCCAACTTATTACATCCTTTATTGCAAAGTCACCAAACAAAGGTCTTTCCAACAAAAGGGAAAAAACCAAAAACCAACAAAGTACTATAAAAAACATGCCAAAGAAGATCACTCTGAATACCAACAAACCTGTCATCGACAACATCTCATATTTATCTGATCTCTTTTTTTCAAGAAAATGCAAAAGCTTTGTGTTTTGATGCATTGTTATCAAGAATTTGTACAAGCCCAAAGAAGGGCACACCCGGTTTACAACACGGCGCCCCTAGCCGCTAGACACCACCTCATCCGGTAACAAAGCCGCAAGACCCTTCGGGGCCCTCCATCGCCCATTGTCTGGGCTCTGATTTGATCGCGCCGAGGAGGTAAGGCAAGCTGAGTTGATCACTATCAAAGATGATGGCGTTGCGATGCTTCAAGATGCACCATGTCACCAACGTGATGGCCGAAGAAGTGCTCTTACACGTGCAGGTCTGGACAGAATGACATGTTTGATGCTACCAGTCCACGAATCCGCCCAGCTTATCGGAATGGCACACCGTCGAGTGCAGTCAAGCGCCTCGTGCCACACCGTGCGTGCGAAGGAGCATCCGGTGAGGATATGGGCCATCATTTCCTCCAATTGATCACAGAGCACGCAACGTAGCGCGTGTTGCAGGCCTCGACGTGCCTGGTGCTTGGCTGTCCAGCACGTGAGGCACGTGAAGAACTTGACCCTTGGGGAGCCAAGACTTATAGTTCAGCTTCCAGGAGCTCGAACCAACCGTTCCCTGAAACAGGATGTCGTCACAGCTCTTGGACGCATACTAGGAGTCCTGGGTCTAGTGTTATACAGGGCAAACCATAGGGGTGGCCCAATCTTCATGATCTGGAGGTGGATTCAAGGATGAAGATGAAGAACAAGAGGGAAACAAGGGGAAATCACAAGAGGAACACACAAACAGGCAAAGTCAATACGAGAGGTGCCTCTTTGAGCCACCAAGTACTCATCTCATAAGCCAAAGTCAATACTAGAGGTGAACCATCGGCAAGCCAAAAAACTGGCGCAGGATTCAGTCAGCCAGCGCCTCTCCAATATTTTGGCCACGAATACAACGTAGAGAGCTGAAGGGCCTTGGGAGAGCCAAATTTTTGGAGCTTATCCAAACAGAAACGATCGTTCTGGTCAATGCCAATTTTTTGGTCGGGCAGCCCCTGGCTCTGATCCAGACGGGTCCTTAGTTAAATGTACTACCATTTACTGACATAACCCGTCGTTCATTTTGTAAGGTTAGGATTTTACTTGGTGAATGGCATAATCCTGGCTGTGTGACACTGGTCATGGTCAGTTGATCGGTTTAAGGCATCTGTTTGAAAACAAACTGGCTGGGTTCACATGTCACCTTGACTTTGTTAATTCATACCTCCCGTTAGTTTCCTTCTGCAAAAGAAATTATTTATTGTATGTTGAAGACTTGAAGTAGCTGCTATGAGCTGTACAAAGAACAACAAATATAATTCAGTGAATATTAGTTATGATATCCCTAACATGCAAGGACGTTCCATATGTGTGTAGTTACTATCTTTGTTAGTGTATTCTTGACTTACTATGTTTCTGAATTGGAACAGCGAATCAGGATAAAAGAGATCAGAAAGGATGAATGGTTTAAGAAAAATTATGAACCTGCCAGGGAAGTAGAAAATGAAGAAGTAAATCTCGATGATGTTAATGCAGCTTTTGATGATCCTGAGGTATATAATTCTATTCACCATATTCCTAGAATTCATTTGGAAGGAAGGCATCGCATGTATATTTGTATAATACAGTGCTCAGCACTTGGTTTCAGCTATATCCCTCGCAAAATTAGAACACTGACGTGACATTAAGGCTTAAGGAATAAGGACAATTTATGGCCTCCACCCTCCAATCCTTACTCGTAGAAATATGTTGTGGTGTTCTGGATATGTAAACTACATTTTGCTTTCCTCACCAGTGATTTGTACGAGTTCTTTTCTCTCAGTACTTAGTACCCATGTACTAAAAAAAACTTACCCATTGTACTTCCACATATTCACTGTATTCGATACTTTAGTTTCTTTGGTATTTGTTCTTTCGCAATTATCGAGATATAAGCCAAAAACAGACCACAGATTTCCCTCTCTTTGACCTAACAGGCACATATTGACCTTCAGCTTGGGATTGCTTATCGAAAGACTTATTTTAAGCCAAATGGAGCAAGCCGACTTACACACATGTTGCCTTGCTCATTCTTAGATCGGTAAATATAAGCTAGCCTGAAAACCCTTAAAATCTACATGATGCACATACATATTGCCATGCCCATGCTTTTGATAAGTATTAGGTAACCTATTAATTTGTGGATATGTTTTTGTCATGGAAACTGTCAGGGTTTACACCTGTATTTATTTGTCTTGGATTAGTAAGTGTTAGAGATGTATACATTTTCTGTATATTAGCTGTGTAGTATCCCCGTTGTATAAGGGGTTTCATGCATATTTACCACACATGTATGTGTAAGTATACTGGCATATGGCCTCACGGAAGTGCCAGTTGCCTTCATAACATGGTATCAAGGGCTGACATTTATATTTCCATAAAAGAAAATGTTTCCTTGATCTCTTCTCAATCGATCAAATATCCTGTTAGTCATAACACTTGATGATTTATGAAACTATGTTCCATTAATGTTTTGAGCAAATGAATTTAATCCAACATCTAGCAACCATTCATATAGTACATAAAAATTAGCCAATATGTTAAATTAACTCTGGTGTACTTTGTACTTGCAGTTCTTGTAATTTTTCTTGTCTTCATATTTGTCATTTTAGGAGGACAATGAACATACTTTTGACGATGAAGCAGGCCCTTTGACGCTCAATGCATTCGATCTAATTATTCTATCTCAAGGGTTGAACCTTTCGGCCCTATTTGATCGCCGACAGGTATTATGCAAGCCACTTGTGATGCCGAATGTTTTCATGAAGAAATCATCTGAATTGCCAAATGCACTTTATTTTAACAATATTAAAAGTGAGTAATACGTGAAGAGTGAAACTTGGTTTGTTCTTGAGATGTTGAGTGAATATTTGATCTACTGTTGTACTCCCTCTGTCCCAAAATATAAGAACGTTTTTGACACTATACTAGTGTTAAAAACGTTCTTATATTTTGGGACGGAGGGAGTAATTTGTAATAGTTTAAACCTCCCTATATTCTATGCATAGTACAATTTATAACCCATTTGGTTGAAATTACCTTTAACTATAAGGAAAAGTGTTAGTCCATCCATTTGATGAATAACAGGTATGAGTTTAATATTCGCTTGAAGTTATAGGTCTCCCAGACTCTCACTCTAGGACTGGCTGTTATTCCAACGGAATATTGGCTCTATGACACCGACATATCACAGGTTTAAAAAAAACACAACAATATTTGTAGGCTCACTTCTTCCCATTTTGCATCCAAATTCTCCAAAGTTAAGTTTTTACTATCCGCTAATTCATACTAACGGAGGTCCCACCCCGTCATCAGTCCTGTGTTGCCTATGCTTGCGCCCTAAAACGGTTGCACCGCCTCTTCCCATGTCGCCATCTTCTAACCTCTACAGACCTTAGGAACAGTGTATTCTTCTCATAGCTAGACCCCATGCTTTCTTGTCCACTGCACCGCCACAGCCACCACAGTCGGCTCACTGAGCTACCATTGCACACACCTCCTCCTTGTCATCTGCGTAGCCTACAGCTCTCACCCAACTGCGCCGCTGGCGACTGTCGTG